TGTAACCCGAGACAAACGTTCTCCATAATTCGAAAGCGGCAGGAGATCGTGAAAGCAAAATGGCAGACGCACGAGAATATGCATCACCAGCCTCGTGCGTCATGTCACTGAGTGTCTCTAGACAGGATTTTCTGCGAGCATGAGCCCTGTTGTGGACATAGTTTTGGATCTCGCCAGCCATCTCTTCCTTATAGAACCTGTACAGCCCATGTGATGAGCATGATAACATGATAGAAAATATGTTTACTTACGAAAGAATGTCATTTGTCAAGTCCATATAGACTGCGATGTCGCCCATTGCTTGAATGAAATCGGTGACATCGGTCTGTAGGAAGATCATATAAGCGAACGCCGCGGAACTACCTGTCTTTTGACGAAGGTAGTCAGGCCATGCTTGAGCATGTGCTGCAATTTGCATGCCACGCTCGGCATGTATGTCTTCCAAAATACGGCCATTGAGAACTTCAAGTGCAGAGATAACAATGCCATTGGCAGGGATCGTCTCCCACATCTGGTATAGATCACGGACTGAGAGGCTCCTGAAAGCCACAAAAACCGCCTCGTGTATATAATCAGAAGAAAGGAGGAATAATTGAAATTTTTCGTCGTTTGGCGATGGAAAATCGTCGAAATAGAACATGAACCTATAATATATAAGCATCATTAATGGGCAAGAAGTTCGCAGATTCGGAAAACATGCCATGTAAAACGTGCTATAAGGACCTGGGCCTCGATTGGGTGAAATGGATATACCATCTGTTCATCTGGATAAGCCATGACCAAGATATCTCATTCGATCTTCGTACCGTAGCAACTGAAGCTGCATGTAAACAGTACAAGTCAAACGAGGCAGGTTCCTTTGAACACCTCAACAATTCCATGGTATCTGTACGTAGGATGTCTTTTACAACGTCCCGGCGTTCTTCAGGTACCACAGGGTAATCATAATTGCTGCATTTCAGGAGAGTGTGTATGATATTTGTGATCTCCTTCGATGATACGACGTCAGCCTGAGTGTGGCGGCGAGGTCGCGAAACGAAGATGCCATATAATGCTAGTACTGAGATCAAAGTAATCTGAGGTATGGCAACCTGAAGTTAGGCGGCACGCGGCACGCCTGCCAGTGCGCGCCCTGAGCCATGGTGCTAGCCCTTCGTTGAAAGTCGACAGTCGACAGTCGACGTATCGCGTCGTCGATTCGCTAGAAGTGAGGCACGTGCGCACCGAGGGACTGGCAGCGGGGAGCGAGGAACGGGGAGGAGGGAGCCCGAGGGGGAGAACCTGAGGTTGCAGTGGCTATTGGGCTCGTAAGGCGGTCACGGATTGATCCAGGGCCAGGGTGCTCACTGCTCACTCGACGTACATACAACACCGATGCGTAAGTACCGCCGCTGGCCCGCAGCGCCCTGCAAGTTGAATAAAAATAAAAGTAAAAGGTAAAAGGACAATTTGGACTTTCAATAGCAGCAACTCGTTTCGATCGAGTGACCTCAGGGTGACCAAGGCAGGTAGGTTGCCGATATTTCCTAATATGGGCCCTGCGCGCTTCCAGCTGCGCCATGCTGCTCTGAAGGACGTGTCCACGGGGTGATTATCGATGTATCGATGCTGTGGAGGTGGAGCGGAAAAAGGGTACAGTGAGTACTATGGCACATAGCAGCAACTCGTTTCGATCGAGTGACCTCAGGGTACGACCGAGATATGGACTATATCGCCATGCTGCTTCGTCGGACGGGGTGCACGGGTTGATTATCGATGTATCGATGTATCGATGGGGTGGAGGTGAAGCGGCCAAAAAAAACATGAATTTAAAAGACATTTGAGTAGCAGCAACTCGTTTCGATCGAGTGACCTCAGGGTGACGAGAGTATGGGCCCTGCGCGCTTCCAGCTGCGCCATGCTGCTTCGACAGACGTGTCAAAGGGTTGATTATCGATGTATCGATGGGGTGGAGGTGGAGCGGAATAAAAATAAAGTTTTCAGTGCTAGATTGCGATAGCAGCAACTCGTTTCGATCGAGTGACCTCAGGGTGACACCAAGTTATGGGCCCTGCGCGCTTCCAGCTGCGCCATGCTGCTGTGTCTGACTTGGTGTCAAGTGTCTGTGAGTAAGATGTTTGTGGGCTGTGCTGCATGTGACCCTTGAGTGAATGATCATCGAATTTCCAAAATTCAAATTCAGTCAGAGTGAGATGGATGCATATGGATTTTTTTGGGTTGCGCGGCGGTTGTGCTAGGCTTGGAACGAGTAGAGTACGAATAAGAATACGAGTATGAATAAGAGTAGAGTGAGAGTAAGAGGTAGGTGGTGGTGGTGGTGGTGTGCAACTATTTGTTATTTGGCTTTGGCCATTGTATTGTCCAGCCCACAGCACTTTACCCTTCCTCGCCACCACCACACGACACGACACGACACCGCCACCGTCACCGACACCACCTTGCTCAACAACGCGCACGGCCACGACACTAGCAAGCAGCAGTGGAGCGTAGCAGCGTCAGTGTATGTCCGGCAAAGCCCCTCCACGGGGTCCGCGCGCTCTTTATGGCTCAGCCTCAGCCTCAGCCTCAGCGTCATCTTCATCTTCAGCCAATCCCTCTGCCGCTGCAGGTGCGGGTGCATCATCTAGCGGCGCCTCCTCCCACCCTACAGCTTCATCCTCTTCATCTCATCACGTACACCACTCGACCTCTGCGTCAGTGTCAGCGCCAGGACCAAGTGGCAGCCGCACGGGGAAGCCGATACCCACAGGCCCACGCAGCTTGACGAATGGCGCCTCGAGCGTAGGTGGGATTGGGAGTGGGAGTGGGGGTGGGGGTGGGGTACTGACGCATGGGATTGGGAGCGCAGGTGTGGGTGGGGTTAATGGGAGGTATTCGAGCTCTGGGTCGTATTATGATAGGGAGAGGGATAGAGACAGAGACAGAGACAGGGAGAGGGATAGGGAGCGGGAGAGGGATAGGTATTGGGACGACCGAGACCGCGACAGAGACTACAACCACCGACGACCCCCCGCCGCCGTCGCTGTCGAAGGCGGCCTCCAACCCCACCGCCAGCCCATCTCCATAAAAAATAAACTACAGGGCCACCACGCCCAGCATGATACGACGACGACGCCGGTGGTGAGTTTTCTTTATTAATAATCCAAAAAAATGGGATATGGATTGATTGATTGGTGTACAGGGCACACTGAAAGGGTTCGTAGCGCCTCCACCCCCGCCCCAGCCGCAAGACGAGCCCCCGCCGGCACCGCCCCTGCCCCCGCCGACGCCCCCGACAGAGCAACTACAACTACAACTACAATCACAACCACCGCCCCCGCCCCCACCACCACGAGACCCGGTACCCCCTCCGCCCCCGCCACCACCACCACCACCGAGAGAACCAGAACCACTACCCCCGCCGCCTCCGCCTCCGCCCCCGCCGCCGAGTGAGCCCCCGTCGAATGAGTTACCGCCTCCACCGCCTCCGCCCCCGCCGCCGTCGTCCCTACCACCACCACCACCACCACCACCGCGAGAACCGTTACCGCCCCCACCACCGCCCCCGCCCCCGACGGAGAGAGAGATGGAGTTGGTGATGCCGACGCCGCCGCTACAGTCGCAGTCGCCGTCGCCTCCTCCACCACCAGCGCCTGTGACTGTACCAGTACCGCCTGTTGAAGCTGAGGGGCCTGGGCCTCGAAGTGTTGGGGTGGTTGGCGTAGAGGCCGAGGCCGAGCCGCAGCCGCGGCCAGAGTCTACACAATTCACACAACCCGCACCACAACCCGCACCCGCACCCGCTCCGTTACAACTAGAACCGCAAACACAACTACCGCCACAACAACCCACGCCACCACACTCACAACCCCAACAGCCACCACCACCACCACCACAACCCGCCGCACAACCACAACCACAACCACAACCCCACCTGGCACTAGCACCCGCACCCGCACCCGCGCCCGTGCCCCTCCCCCCCTGGCCCGCGCCCGCCTCCGCGTACCCGCCGCACGAGCGCACATACAAGCTCCTCTACGACCCCGCGCTCGACTCGGCCTCCGCGCTCGCGGCAAACGCGCAGCCGTACAAGGACCGCGACGCGAATAGGGAGGTCCTCGCGCGGGGGCTGTGGTCTGCGCTTGCGTGGGGGAATCGGGAGTGCGTTGGGGTGTATGCGTGTGGGAGTGGGGCTGGGGGGAAGGGCAAGGGGAGGACACGGAAGAGGGACGCGGGGTATTATGCGAAGCTCATTGAGCGAATTAAGGCTGGGGATGCGGATGGAGAGAGGGACGGGAGGGACGGGATGAGGGAGCGGGTGTTGGGGAAGGGGAAGGAGAAGGAGGTGTTGAGGAGGTACGAGGGGCGCGTGTTGGATGAGGATGAGGGTCTTGATCTTACACTTGGCGAGGCGATGGACGTCGACGCCACTGACAACCCAGACGTCAGCGCCACCGCCAACCCCGAGGACGCCGACGCCAACGCCAACCCCGACGCGGAAGACAAAGTCCTCGAGCCCCCGCCGGCCCCACACGACCCGCGGCACGACCCCGCGCTCCGAGCGATCAAGGTCCAGCTCGCGCGCTCGTACCGCGAGCAGTTTTACCAGCTTTCGTGGGAGGTAAGCCAAGCCCCCCTCTCTCTTGTTTTCCTAATAACCCCCGTTCCATCCACAGCCCGACACAAACACACCCACCCCGCCCCCAACAGGCGTCACCCTCGCCTCCATCCCGCCACTAACCCCCACCGGCGTGCTCAAAGCGCACTTCCGGTCCGCGTACGGCCCCCTGGCGTCGTTCGAGTGGCAGACGAACCGCGCGAACGGCGCGGCGGTGGGGGTGCTGCATGTAAGGTTCGCGACGCATGCGGAGGCGGTGAGGTGCGTGAGGGGGGAGGATGGGCGCCGGGGGGGATTTGGTCAAGGTGTTGGTGTTGGTGTTGGTGTGGGAGTAGGAGGGGGGACGGGTGCGGGAGGGGGAGGAGGTGTGGGAGGGGCAGGGGGAGCGGGAGGGGAGGAGGAGGAGGATAGAGTCCGGGCGTGTTTGGATGGGGACGGGAGGGTGCTCAAGTTTGTTATGCGGGAGGTGGAGGCGAGGTGGGAGGGGAGGAGGAGGAGGGAGAAGGAGGGGAAGCGGGTGCCGCACGTACAGCCTGCTGCTGCTGCTGCGTCGACGTCTACGCCGGCATCTGCGTCGGCGGTACCCCCTGCGTCTACATCGACGTCGACATCGACGTCTACCCCCGCCCACCCGCTACCTCCAACGCAAAACTCGCTGCACCCAACTCTCCCCGCGAAGCCCACGACACACGCACACGCACACGCACACGCACACGCGCTGGCATCCTCGTCTCCGCACCCCGGCGCAGCCGCAGCACCAAATGGCACCACCACCACCACCAGTACCGCCCACGCACCAAATGGCAATGGCACCACGACCACGACCGCCGCCACCGCGACAACCACCGCACCCCCCGCGCTCCCGGCACCCCCCGCGCCCGCGCCCGCCCAGATCCATCCGAACCTCCTGCAGGAGAGGGAGAGGGTGCAGAAGAAGGAGCGTGAGAGGGAGCGGGAACGTGAGCGGGAGCGCGAGAGAGAAAAAGAGAGAGAGAAAGAAAAAGAAAAAGAGAGGGAGCGGCAGCACCAGCACCAGCACCAGCACCAGCACCCGTCCCTCCCGCTGAATCCCAAGTTGTTGGCGGGGAGGGAGAGGGAACGCGAGCGGGAGAGGGAGCGGGAGCGTGAGGGGGATCGGGAGAGGGACCGCGAGAGGGACCGAGAACGCGACCGAGATAGGGATCGAGGCCTCGCACAGCCCATGCGCCCCCCCGCCGCTGCGTCCTCGCCTGCGCGTCACACAGACAAGGACGACCGTGATCGCGGGCGCGCGCCCTACCGCGACCGGGAGCACCACACCCACGCACCGGACGGAAGGGACCGCCCCGTCCCGCCCATGGCGACCTCCATGAGCATGGGGGACAGCTACGTCCCCTCGCGCGAACGTGAGCGCCCCGGGTCCCGCTCAAGGTCTCGCACGCGGTCTCGCTCGCCCCCGCCGTTTTGGAGGGGGGTGAGGGATAGTTGGCGGCCTGGGGTGCGGTCGAGGTCGCGGTCCCGAGATCGGGATAGGGAGAGGGAGAGGGAGAGGGAGAGGAGGAGGCGGTATTCGTCTTCGCGCTCGCCACGCGGTCGAGGAGGTCGGTGGGCTTCGCGGTCCCGGTCGCCGCCGTACCACAACCACAACCACAGTCGCAGCCGTTCTCCTCGCAGTCGCAGTCGTAGTCGCACCCCCAGCCGCTCCCGATCACGGTCCCGCTCACGGTCCTGGAGCCGTAGCCGTAGCCTTAGTCGCAGTCGCAGTCGCAGTCGATCGAGGAGTCGGAGCAGGAGTCGAAGCAGGCAACGGCACGCGGAAGAGGACAAGTCCATGCGCGAGATCACGCACGCGCGCGTTCTGGAGGCGTTAGCGAAGAACGGGATGCAGCATGTAAGGATCGCGCTGGTGGGGAGTGCGCGTGTCCGGGAGGAGGACGTGAGGGGGTTCTTTGAGGGGTTTCGGGTTGATCGGGTGAGTGTTAAGTGTTGCGTGTTGCGTGTTGCGTGGTCTTTGTTGTCCTTGTTGTCCTTGTGGTCTTTGTGTTCGCCTTTCACCTTTTACCTCTGATCCTTGTCTTTGTGTTCCCAAACTGACCTCCCTCCCCTCCCTTCAAATACAGATCCTCAAAGACCACCTCGGATGGTACATCACCTTCCAGACCCCCGACAGCGCGCACCGCGCCACACGCGTCCTGTCGAACTCGAGCACCAAGAAACTCGCGTACCAGACCGTGACGCTGACGACGCACCCCGCGCCCGCCCTCCCGAAGAAGCCCGCCCTCCTCGCGAACAGCCTCTCCCTCGCGAGCCTCGACGCGTCGTTCGCGGG